ACTTACCAGCTGGATGCTGCTCTCCAAGCTGCCAGGCTGCGTATCGGCAGTCAGATCATTATTGGCCGATATGGCTTGTCAATAATTGGCCATCACTGTTGGCCCAAAAATCTTTATCGGTGCACCCTTGGACTTGCTTCATTCATCTTGTTTCTCCCTGCAGCATTTCTCATTTTACTTATGCATGTATGTTTTGGCCAGATTGTAGTTTGTGCTTAGAATTAGATGTGCACCAATACATCAGTCCATATGGTATCAGCACCAGTAAAAGGAAAATTGACATTATCGGCAATCTGCTTTTTTTGGCTGTTATGTACGATAGTGTCTCTGATAAATGCCACGTGCGTGCAAGCAGTCACAGCATGTATGTAGCCAGGAGTGCAGCCTGACAGCTTGGAGATCAGCGTCTGGCTGGTAAATCTGGCGGGGAGAGGCAAATTGAGGCCCCACAGTGAGGGAGGGACTAGGGCTGGGGCAGGGGCAGGCAATGCCCAGCTGGGGTGGGGCACGGGACAGAGCCATGGGCAGCTCATCCAGGGGGCGCAGGGCGGGGGGTGGTTCCCTCCACTGCGTGCACCCCAAGGGAAGGCATGGGGGGCACATGTGGCAGGCCAGTAGGAGGCACTTCTGTGCTGAGCCGCCTGCCTCACTGCCCTACCAGGAACCACGCTTCAGGTGTCTCCACTGGGGCACCTACGTCTGGCCAACCCCCCTCCTAGAGCACACCTGCAAGCCTGGGGTAGCTGCTGCCACTACCTGGGGTCTGGTCTTTGTTAGTGCTCTGTGCCATCTGGGGTACACAGACCCTGTGGACCTTGGGGTTGCTTAACCCACTGCGGTACTTTGGGGGGGTGCTTCTCAACCTGAAACATTCACAAATAGCCTCCCTCAGCCAGCTGAGCAAAAGGGAGCTGAAAAGGCTTGTCTCGTTCCTCTCAAGCAGGTACAACAAGGCTTGCTGTAACATAGTTTTATTGATTGGAGAGGGTAGGGTATGCATGCAGAGGGTACAGGTCAGAGAAGTATCAAAAGAAAAACCCTGAGCAAATGGAAGCGGCTTGATAGCCTTTTGATATGCTTCTAGAACACTTGAGCCTAAGTTACTGGGTAAATTTCGGGTAGGTTACTCACACGTTCATCCAGAGTCTACAAGAGCTCCAGCTGTTTGCTAATTTCCATGTTCCCAAAGATGTCTGCCCCCCTTCCTCATCGAGGGACCCTCTTATACACCTGTCATGACCTCATCACTAAGTTCCCACCAGAAGCAGCCCCAGTGGCTGCTGACCAATCCTTCCAAATGACATCAGCCTGACCAGGTGAGATGACTAGTCACATGACCTGCAGTGGTGGGAACCTGAGATGATAGAGGAGCAGGTTCCCCCTCCCATTTGAATTTTTACAGCCCAGCTAGTCACGCAGGCACAATGGTAGCACAGGAAGGGGGGTTGGGCTGCTGCCTTACAGCAGAGACAGGCTCGGGGTGATTTTTCCACACACATGTCCCCTGGATCTCTGCGTGGGGCAAGGGCTGGGGACTGCGCTGGGCTCTTTCCGGTGGCGGGGCTGGGCCAGGGCTGTGCTCGCTCAGGGTGGCACAGGCAGTAGCAGCGCTGCTATGGGGGCTAGGGTGAATTTTGGGGTGGCTATAGCCTTAACTCCCCCTCCCAGCGCCACTGCTGCCTGGCACGACCACAGTCCCAGTCCCTCCGCTGGGAAGAGCCCAGCAGAGCCCCTGGCCCCAAGTGCACAGCAGGCACCCTGCCCTTGCCCCACTCACAGATCTGGGGGGGCATATTCCCCCCATGCCTCCCCTGGGGTGTACACAGTGGTGGATGCTGCCCCCCCATCCTCTCTGAACACACCACCTGCGGCTCCATCCCACACCGTGCCCCACACCACCCCAGCTGGTCAGCTCCTGCCTGAGTCCCACTCCCTCCCCCACTATGGGGGCCTCAATGTGGACCCCAAACCCCTTCCC